CAGCCTAGCTCACAGCAACCTCAAACTCCTGGGCTTAAGCAATCCTTCTGCCTCAGCCTCCCAGGTAGCTGGGACTACAGGCGCTCGACCATGTCCAGCTAATTTTTTCTATTTTTAGTAGAGACTGGGTCTTGATCTTGCTCAGGCTGCTCTGGAACTCCCGGCCTGAAGCGATCCTCCCGCGTTGGCCTCCCAGAGTGCTAGGATTACAGGCGTGAGACATTGCGCCTGGCTAATATATTGTCTTTCTAACACTAAATATAAATGACACCGTACTTTACCAATCCGTCTGCCATGTTTTTCTCATTCAACATCACATTTTTCAGATTTATCCATATTGTTACATGTAGTTATACTTCATCACTGCCGTTTCCACAACTTCCAGAAGCATTTCCATAGGTCCATCCTCCTGAGCATGTGACTGCCCCAAGATCCCAGGAGTAGTCAATGGCAGCCAATGGGCCATCTGTTTTGGTGGTACTGGTGGTGTGGACAGAGTTTGCACGTCTAGGTCAAGGCGTTCATTCGTGTGGGCTGAAGGGGAAGTGGAATGGGAGAAGGATCTTGGCAGCTCTCCCTACCCGAATTCCCTTTCTAGAATTTTAAATTTGGATTTCCAGGCTGTTAAGAAGATGTATTTAAGGTAGGAGGCTGGAACATATTTCCTTCACTATTTACTGTGATTTACAACTTTTAAATATTCAGACTTAAGTACGTGGACCTTCGTTTATACTTTTGACTGGGCCCCACAAATAGAGGTGGTCTGCCCTTACCTTATATCCGGCTTTCTTCAAATCGTTTTGTTATAGTAGGAAATTACCGAAATGTGGCTCTCCTTCTATGTCCACTTGTATTAATTATATTAATCACCACCTCCCCTCCTCTCTTCACTAGCTAGGACTCTCAGCTCTATGTTTGCTACGTTAGGCACCAAGTTGGAATGAAGACGCTAACTGGACGCCAAGAAGCGACGCTCGAGGCACGCTCCCACAAAGGTCCGCCCAGCCCGGGGCCCCGCGGCATCCTGGGACGTGTAGTCTTTAGGGGCGCAGCTGCCTCCTCCAAGTCTCCTCCCCCAAGCGCTGGACGCTGCCTTTCGCCCTCGGGGCGTCGTGACGTTGCGTTCCTCCGATCCCTTACCACTTCCCTCTTTCTTTCCCTCTGGAGAAGCTCAGTCCCGGACTTCCGAAGACTTTACGACATTGGTTCTCAGAGTCGGTCTCAGCGCCGGGACCACTTTTCGGCAAAGTGACGTGGACGTCAACAGCAATGGCGGAAGGAGAAGAGGTCCTGCCACCGCCAACGTCGAGCGGCGACGGCTGGTGAGTGAAAGCCAAGGCTAATTCCCACTGGCCCTTTATTCTTCTTTCTCACCATTCTGGGGTTCCCTGAGGCACCGTCTGGCGTCGGCAAGAACGGGAAGACCCGTCCTCGGAGAAGTCCAATGTCCTGCCCCGCCCCCTCTGCCTGCCGAGTCTCCTCTGCCTGCGGGGTCCCTCCTCCCTGCCCGCTTCTGCCCAAGGGGCTGGGGCGGGACTCGAAGGAAGAGGGGTGTTGTCCAGGTGCTGGGCCTCAGTCTGGGCCTCCCGCTTCGTCCACTGCTCTCCAAGATGTGTTGGAGAGGGTGGCTTCAGGGCTGAGTTTGGCTGAAGTCCCAGGAGTAGACTGGTTAAGACGAAGTTTCTTGGATACAGATCTGGGGCATTAAAATATGATTTGAAGAAAAGACCTTTTGAAATTACTACTGCGACCTCTGCCTGAGGGTTCAGAGGTTGAGAGACACACCCAGGGAGGATCCCTTCCACGTAGTTGAGATGTTTTATATATTGGTTTTTAATCTGGTTTCGCGTTCCAACAGTTTTTACCATTCGTCTCTTCCACACAAGCCGTCTTTTTCCTTTCTATCACTTTTCTCGCAGCTTGATTTCATAGCTTCGGATGCAGCATGGGACTTTGCGGTTGCTGCTCCCAAGCCTTTACATGCTTACCTGATTCGTGCTCGGGGTTGTGGGGAGGACCTCCAATAATTTTTTGGTACGCTACTCGGTGTTGTTAATCTTTGGGAAAAGCTTCTACTTTTGAAATAGTCGATCTTTACAATGGTTAGGGAAAACATCATTTAAAAAAAATCTTTAGAGGTTTGTCTGATTTTCACAATTGATTTAAGTGCATTGACCACATGTATTTGGATTTGCTTGTTTTTAGTATGTGTACAGCTCACTAGCACTTTGTTTACCTAAATATAATACAGGACATTTGTAGGTATTGAGTTTAGTCCCTGAGAAAAAAATGGAAATCGTTGAAACGGATAGATAATAGAGTAATAGAGAAATTCATCTGTCAATTAGCAGACATCAAACATTACCTTAGTGCGTGTGCTCTCCAAGGTGTAGGAGGAAAACTTATGGTGACCTAGGTGTAGTTTCTTTCCTCAGTTTGCTTATTTTGGAGTTGGGATCTGTAACAGGTACAGTCAGTAACAAGATAAAATTAATCTTATTCTTTGGGAGTGCGATTAAAAGTGTTATGGGAGTTGGGCGGGGGAGGGCGGCGCAGAAACCACTTCCACTTGGAATCACTGGGGAAAGCTTCATGGAAGCAGTGGTGTTTGAATTAGGCCTTGAAGAATGAGTAGTATTTAGACCAGCACTGTCCAATAGAAGTATAACATGAGCCACGTAAGTAATTTATCATTTTCTAGTAGCCATATTAAAGACTAAAAGAGGTAAAATTCGTTTTAATAATCTATAATACTTTAATCCAATATATTCAACATATTTCAACATGTAATCATTGTTAAAAAAACAATTAGATAATTTTACATTTTTTTTGTACCAAGTCTTATCCAATGTGCATTTTACATATACTCTACATCTCAATTTGGTCTAGCCACATTTCAAATATTAAATATCCACACATGGCTAGTAGCTAACATATTGAATAGTGCAGAGTCAGATTAAGAGATGAGAAAGGCCTCTGACTGCAGGAACAGCATAAGCAAGGACATAGGCAAGAAAACTAGTGATTTGTTTGGAGAGTAATAACTAGAACTGCCCGGTTGAAGAGAAGTTGTGGAAAAATAGGTCTGGAAAAACATTAAAAAAGGTTTTAACCAGTTAAAGGGACCTTTTAAAAGTCGTTGACATAGACATTGCAACACTTTTCAGAAAGTGATTTAGCTGGTTATAACCTGAAGTTTCTAACTCCTGGCCTCAAGTGATCCTCTCATCTTAGCCTGCCAGAGTGCTGGGATTACAGGTGTGAGCCACTGCACCTGGCCAGGTTGTAACCTGAAGTTTGCTGTTTTGGAAGGGTGAGTTGTTTCACAAACTGGACATAATCAGCTGATTGAGGGCCATGAGGGGAATGTTTCTAGAGTTAAGGTATCTTGGGGAGTTCTTAGGTTAGGAGGATTGTAAACATGTGTCTAGTTCACAGGCAAGGGACATGGAGTAAATGATTGCTAGAGAGATAGCATTTGTTCTCCTATAAGGTTGCTGTGTCTTTGGTGTGTCTTCCCATTTTTGTTCATTTTATTTTCATGAAGGGAGGAACCCTGAGATATTCTGTGATTTCTATTCTTTCTCCATTCTCTTCCAATCTTTGTCTTTTTTCTCGAATCCTTACTCCCCTCACCAGTCACCCAGAAGTGAGTTTGAATAGAGTCAGGAAAGACTTTGGGATTGGGAGCCATGGGTTCAATAAAGCCTCTCTTCTTAGAGTGCTTGGTGAATGGGCTGTTACAGAATGGGGATGCTTTTTTGTAAAAAAGAGTAGATGTTTTTATTTTAACTGTCATGTTTTTATTTTAATTTTATCAGATACAAATTTTTCTAAAATATATCATGTGTCTCACTGCCTAACCCAGACTCATCTTAACGACTCAGGGTCTTTCAGTTTACAAGTATAAGCGTATAAGAATAAAATTAGGTCCTTGTCCTCAAGAAATTTATGGTCTAGTTACAGGAGTTGCATTTAAGAACATTGATTACTTTTGTGCTGCTGTAATTTGCTGAGACCTTTAGAACTTATCAAGACAGATAATGTAGATTGTTGCTATGTTAAATGGCCCCACACAGCCATCCTTTTTTGAGATTTCTTTTTATAAGTTTTTCCTGTTTTCTTTCTTTCTTATCAGTGTTATCTCTCAATTTGTTCCTACTCTGTGAAACTAGGTAGTTGAACTTGTTAAAATTGTGTATACATTCCTAAAAAGGCTCAGGATGGAGCTTTAAAACCTTAAAAGTACATGGGCTCTATGATATCATTTATTACTTATTTACTAGTTTTCAGTTATGGTCTAGATCAGTGGTTCTCAAAGTTTAAATGTGCATTGGAATTACCTGAGGAGCTTGTTTAAATGCAGATTCTGCTTCAGATTTTGGGTGGGACTTGAGATTCTATATTTCTGACTAGCTCCTAGGTGATGCCAATTCTGCCAGTTCATGGACCACACTTTAGTTAGCAAGGTATTAGGTGATGTATATCTCAGAATGAGTAGGTCAGCAGAATTTATCTCTATATTTTATATGTTATATTGTATCACCTTACAGGTTATACTATAATTTATCTAATTACATAACTTACCATTACTCTTTAGATAGTGAACATCGCAAGAGCAGTAGCAGATAGCAGGTGGCTCAGTAAATGTTTGTAGAATGAATGTATGCATGAATGAATACAGACTTTTGTATCATCATGTGCAATGGCATACCAAGCTGTTATTTCATGTAAATTTCCTGACTCCAGTGTTTTTGTGAGCTGTGTAATTGTCTGCTGGTATAATGCTCATTCTTTATGGAAAGCCATGTTGATCAGAAACTGCCTCAGCTCTCAAGCTTTCTGAGACTTCAGCCATGTAAGCTCAAAGGGTGTGGTGAAATCCTTGTAAAAATACTTATGGTTAATTTGAATTGATGCAAATTTAATTTAAAAAATTAATATATATTATGAGAATCTGAATTTGTAAAATCAATGTTAAATTGTTACAATTCAAAGATTGGCAGTTATTCTTCTTGGTGTTGAAGAAACCAGCAGTGGATTTGAACAGATGTTCTCATTTTCTGAGGCTTTCTTCCTGACATAATTCCTAAAGATATAAGTTCATAATTAAAAGAAAATTTGGTATAGACTTTAATTATACAATTGATATTCTGAACTTATGTAATTTTAAATTTTTACTCAGAATTTTTACTTTTAATTCATGGTTCTAATTTATTGCTAAGCTTTTCTTAAATTATTGTTGAACTTTTCTTAAAATTGTAAAAGTTTTAGTTCCATAAAGAAGCTTCTATTGTTGTTAATTTGAGATGTGAATAGGAATTGTTTTTGAGAATAATGAGTTATTTTTACAAGTTTTGTGCACTCTGTAAATAGCACTCTGTCAGTGCTTCTTACTTTATAAGCATTAAAACATGAGGTAAGATTTAAAATGTCACTTAAGGACTGGGTGATTGCAATTTCAGATATGATACAGTCAGTAAAGAAATATGTGAAATATGAAAGAGAAAGGAACCCTTTGTTTCAGAAGAACACTGGCCACTTGTGGGAAGGCTAGATATTACCTTAGAAAAAAATGAAGAGAAAACGAGCTTTATTTCTTCAATTAGGGGTTATTAAGTGATAGCTGTTTGATTTCGTAAACTGTAATTAGAGGGCAGGCAAAGATGAGCAATGAAGATGACTTATTTTGTTTATGTTATTTATGTTAAAGTCTTTATTATAATTATAATTCAGATTTTACAGTTTTTGGAGGCAATTCCTAGTTCACTTCTAGGATTTTGTTTCCTGTAGATGTTTTAATATCCACATATTAGATTTAGTAATTGGTTTTGCATGCTAAAGAAATGCATTTCATTCAGTTAATTCATTTTATCTATATGTACTCACTGTAGAGAGGGTACAAGTGCATTCCCTATATTAGTGAAGCAATTCAAGTAATTCTGGAGCAACCGGTTAAATGTACTGCAATATACAGCCAATTTATGAGTAGGAATCTTTTGAGCAAAATTGATAAAAACCGCTTGACAAAGCATTTCTGCTCCATAGTGCTGAAATGTGGATTCCATTTGGTATAAACTAAAGACAGTGCCCTCCCTCTTGTATCAAAAAGCAAAACAGAGTTTAGTAAAGCATTCATAGTTCAGCAGACAATCACCGAATACTGTTTGAAGGGTTTTAGAAAAAGTTTGAAACAGTTTTAAAACCAGAAGTGTGCATTGTGGTTCCTTGCTGGGGCATGTTAATTTTTTGTCATTTTATTTCTGGGAATAATATGTGAAGATACCTTCTGAAGGTATCTAAATACTAGTGTTTTTGGAAA